GCTGGCAGGCTGCCCGCAGAAAGAGGCCGTGGGTATGCAAGGGAAGTTTCTGGTGATGCAAAGGCTGTGTAGGAGGGAAAAAGCTAGTTACTTGAGCCACATTCCTAGGAGGAGGCTAAAGCGCATGTGCTTGGGCACTGCTCTTCTTGATTACTCTGGTCAGTATTAGTAATGCTAGTCTAATGCAATGCACAGAGCTCCCCATGCAGAATGGAAAGTGGCATTTCACAGAACTGCTAACACCACTCAATACCTTTGCATCATGCTGTCCAAGGTCCCTGACCATGCAGAATTCCTGTCAAGGAAGCTGCTGGAGGCTGCTGTGACCAGGAGGGGACAGGAAGTCAGAGATCTGCTTATCTTCCCTCATTTACTAACTTAATACTTTGTGTTCCCTTCTCCTGAAAGAGCATCTTCCAAAGCCTGAAGAGTTTGGGCTTTTCAATTATTTCAACTTTTTTTTGTTTTAAATTTTTTCAATCGCATGTTCATGCTCTTATTGCGTAAGCGCTTGGCCACTCTCTTTGTCGAGAAGGCATGGCTAGAAAACAAGCCCCTTTGCTGTGCCTCAACCAGGCAAAGAATTTGCTCCTTTGTAACAAAGTGACCTGAGGAGTAATGGGAGGGTAGCTGAGCCCTGTCTAAGCAAGGCTGGGCCTGTGGTCTAAATCCTTTTGGAACAACACAGTGAACATGATTCAGTGGCTTAAACAAATACACCTATGCCATTTTAGACACCCTAGAGTATTTAGTCTGGCCTCCAGCTACTGTTCCAGCAGCCTATGAATCTCCTACTTGTATTTCTTGAGTATCTTGAAACATGTTATGTTTCTTCTAGAGGGCAGGAGTGACAGCATCAGGCAACTGGGCTTTACCCTGCTATGGTAAATTTTACTTCATTATACATTCAGTCATAAGGACTGGAAACCCTAAGATTACAACAATTTCAGCTTCATTAGTCTACTAATGAGCTGTGCACCTGACTTAATTTCTACACCTGTAATTAATTAGGAGGTCAGATCCTTAGCATGCTCTCTGAGAAACACTTGAAGAAATGAATGCTTTGTAGCGCCCAGAATCAGCTTCGCTCAATTCACAGAGTAGTCCCCAGTTCATGCAAACTCAGGAATAATTGCAGGCTATGGAATCAGATCAGTTACTCACTATGTCCCACACGAAGTTAGTTAGCCAGTAGATCGCAGGGCTCACACCACTGACAAACTGTAGATGCTTGGCTTTTGTTACACGTTCTTGAATCAGGTATAAAACAAAGCTAGCTGGTATAAAAGACATGGCAAAAATCACACAGATGGCAACAACAGCATCCACTGAAGTGGTCAGCCTAAAACAGAGCACAGGAAGGCACTGTGAGCAAGGGAATAGATGCAACACAACATTAATTAGCATTTGGGAAATTTGGAGGGAAATTTAAGACCTAGAAGTAGCAAAGTTATTTTCTAAGTAGAAGACTTTTTCAATTTCAAAACATGCCAATGTATTTTCCCAAGTTGTGTTGGGGACTGTAGCTAACAAATATGAATGTTGGTGACACAATTCCCTGTTTTTTTACTTGCCTTCATTCTCTGGAACAGTTCAGCTCCTATTTATGTATCTCAGTCTGACAGCCTTTCCTCTATGGTGTATCTCAAACTAGACATTAAGGCACAATAGTCAAAGTGCTCTGAAAGCTGGGAAAAGAGGGACTCAAAGAGGCATGTTGCAGACAGTGAGATGAAGCGCAGATCTTGTCTCTGTGCTAAGGCAGAAGTTTTCCGTTTCACTGACTTCTGAACTTAACAGGAGACATGAATGGGAATTCATGTCTTCTTAGAGGTGTCCTTTTCAAGAAATTATGGCTTTTAGATTCTGGAATACACCAACTCTACTGCATACCATTGAAAATCTACCTGTGTGTTCTCCTTGGCACCAAGATGGAGGTTGTTGACTATGGTCTACCTGTAGCCAAATAAGGACAATTTCCACTTCCTTTTTTGATTATGATCTCTGTGTTATTTCACAAGTAGATCTATTTGCTTTGGAGCATAAAAAAAGACTTCAGAATCTTTGTGCTTGGGAGCCAACAGAAATGTGTTATCATTTATAACCAATGGTCATAGCTCCTACATGGGATGGGAAGGAACTCTTACAGGAATATGAGACAAGAAAGAATAAATTGTATACCTAATTCTTGATTAGAATAAAACTTCAGGCAAAGGCTTCCATGTTCTGTCAATTAGACTGTATCTCCTCAGAGTGTGAGTACACTGGAGGTGGTAAGCTGCCAGGAGAGGAAGGGGTAAAAGCCAGCAGCAGAGCACAGGCAGACTTACACAGTGACTTCAGAGAGTTGCTCCTTAGTAAGGTTCAGAGGATGGTTTACAGCAGTAATCCCATACTCCTCAGGGGCTTGGCCAGTCCGCAGGTTAGCTCTAAGGATTGCATTATTTGCTACATTAAGGAAACTAACCATAGCATGCCAGCCTTTATTGTTAAACCACACCTGAAAGAGTCAGAAAGCACAGATTCATTTAAGAAGCCTTCACGAATAACCCTGGGTTGCAGGAGCAAACTTGACTGCATTTTATCTACTTTGGTGGGCATTGTTGGCAGGGCAGAATCCAGTACTAGGAATTCATAGCTCCTGACACAGTCCAGCAGGAGGAGCTCACATACTATGCTTTTAAAAGGGCTGGACAACCACTGTCAAGGCATTTTATGGAAGCACAAAAATCTCACATTAGAAATAACTTCACATTAACACTGTAAACCATATTACTTATAGTAAGTATAGTATTTCTTCTTGCATCTGTGAATGCCACTACAAATATCCTCACAATTTGAAGTCTATGTCAAGAAAGACTGAGTCAGCAGACTCCTTCCAGCGAATACCTTAATATTATCTTCAGTTTCCATGTATTTAAGGAAATCAGACATTTCTTTAGCAGCAGCCAGTGAAGTTGGTCCCTAAAATAAAAAAGAAAAGTCTAAACATCAGCTCTCTGGGTGAAATCCAGTGCTGTAGGTTTTCAGCTTTGTAACAATTCTTTAGT